ATAGAATAGAATAGAATAGAATAGAAGAGAAGAGAAGAGAAGAGAAGAGAAGAGAAGAGAAGAGAAGAGAAGAGAAGAGAAAGGAATAGGAATGGAATGAATGGGATAGAATAGAATAGAATAGAATAGAATTCTTTATTGGCCAAGTGTGGTTGGACACACAAGGAATTTGTCTTTGGTGCATATGCTCTCCGTGTACATAAAAAAAAATACATTCATCAAGACTCATAAGATACAACACTTAGTGATAGTCATAAGTAGGTTACTAATAAGCAATCAAATCATACCATGAAACAAATAAAACAATATATATCATAAAGATACAAGCAACGTGGTTATAGTCATAAGTGGGAGGAGATTGGTAATAGGAAGGATGAGAAGAATAGTAATACAGCCTTAGTAAATAATAAAGTAAATAATAATAATAAATAATAAACTTTCTTGGTAAAGAAACTGATGGAGCAAGAGACTCCTAGGCAGTGGACATGTGGCAACATAGGTTAAAGATTATTCTTCATAATCTCCACATCTGTATTCTTGATGTGACAATCCAAACCTTAACTGCAAGAAGTTGGGATTTAAAAATTTCATGCTATAAGGAGATGTATTGCAAACAACTGGACAATATTTTAAAAAATGCATTTATTTGTTACATTTATATCCTACCTTTCCCCCCAGGAATTCAAGGTCATATACCTAGCCATATATTCAATTGCCCCCAAATTACTCCACAAAATAGTTTAGAGATTGGAGAGACTCAAACGTCAACCACTCAATTTCTATGCCTGAAGGTACATTTCAGCCTCAGTTTCTCTAGCCTTAGTCCAATCTCTCAACTGCTCCTCTACCTCACAATATTAAGTAAGAAAAGAGGAAGACAGGAAAAAGAAAGAGGCATTCAAGCCTATTGAAATCATAAAGAAAAAAATATTGCTTGGGAACACATTAAAAAAAAAGTTATTACATACACGTGCCCATCTAATCAAGCATCCCTACGGCATTAAATGTCTTTAGGAAGTGTGTTAGTGTTATTACTGTTTTACAGTCCGAGGGATTCTGTATGATTTTGAAATGTGGGCTACATTTCCCAGAACTGAAGACTGTTCTATATGGTAAATAGACATGGAACTTTTTAGTTGCTACTATTAGTCGTTATTAAATGAAAAACCTTCCTATGTAACCTTCCAAGAGTTGGAAGGGACCTTAGAGTCCAGGGGTGTCAAACTCCTGCCCCACAGCCCAGATGTGTCATACGCTGGCCACGTCCACACCCAGTTTAGCAAGGGGGGGGGAGTCACGATATGTCATGTGATGCTGCTGTGACGATGCAAGTTTGACACCAATCTCCTACTCAAACAAGAGATCCTGTACCCGGGATGGCGAACCTATGGCCCCCGTGCCACAGGTGGCACACGGAGCCATTTGTCAACGCGAGGCGTTGCCGTTAGCTGGCCAGTGCACATGTGCGCGCTGGCCAGCTGACATTAGCCTCTTTTTGAGGCCATTTTTCGCCTTCCCCAGACTCCAGAGATTTTATAGGGAAGCCTCCGGAAGACCCCTGAAGGCTCCGGAGGGCTTAAACTGGCCCTATGAGCAAACCGGAAGTCCGTTCCTGAAGCCGTTTTTTTGCGCTCCAGAGGCTTCAGGGAAGACTCCGGAGGGCCTCCGGGGGGAGACTGTTTTCGCCCTTCCCCGGATCCTATAAAGCCTCTGGAACCTGGGAAGGGCGAAAAAAGCATGCAAAAAATGGGGGGGGGGAGTGCCTGTCTTGCACGCATGCATGCTAGGGGTCACACATTGCATTATGGGTGTGGCACACCCACGCACGAACCCCCTGCGCTACCCCCCTTTTGGCACGCAAGCCAAAAAAGGTTCGCCATCGCTGTCCTATACCATTCTGGACAAATGGCTGTCCAATCTCTTCTTAAAAACCCCAAGTGATGGTGCACCCAAAACCTTCGGAAGGTAACCATTCCACTGATTAATTGCTCTAACTGTCAGGAAATTTCTCCTCAGTTCTAGGTTGCTTCTCTCCTTGATTAGTTTCCATCCCTTGTTTCTTGTCCTGTCTTCAGGTCCTTTGGAGAATAGGTTGAGGCCATCTTCTTTATAGCAGCCCCTGAGATATTGGAACACTGAAGGCATTTTTGGAAAGTAAGTGGATAACTGTAATCTCCTTCCCAAGAGCCATTAGCTGCTCTGAGAAAATGTATAGTTTCTGTGCACCTACAACATTGTTCTCCCTATATTCCCATGCTTCAGAATGGGGAAACCTAAGCTTCGTTTGGCAAAAGAATCTGAAAAACAGGAGCTGTGTTAATCCCAATTACCCATGATATAATGCCCATTTAAGCATGCTCATGAATATACAGTAAAGTACTCACAAGCCCTATAAATTGATAAGCCACAAATAACAGATCCAATTTATATGTATGAATTAGGAAGTCACATCAAGAAGAAAAGACTTTGGGAATTTTAAAATACTAGCGATTGGGAAAGGGGAATTCATGAGATATTTTTTTTGCGAAGAAATAAGGTAAACATATGTAAAATTGTTTTTAAAAAAGATGAAATATAGGACATATAGTGATGTTAACTGTGTATAAAAACTGAATGAGAAAAGATAAAGAAATATGTAAAGAGAATAATATGATTGAAGTTGGCATAGCACAACTATGGTTAAAAATGATTAATTTGTAAAGATTAGGTGTTTAGCAATGATATGTAAGCTTAAATGAATTAATGGGAAAAAAGAAAAGATTATATAAAGGAGATGAATATTAATGGAAGTGTGGAAATTAGAATATACTGAAATTATGATTATAAATATGTATAAAATGTGACCCAGTCAACACTCTGTCCATAATGTATGTATGATGGGGAGGGAAAAAAAGAAGAAAAGACTCACTCGATCTGGTAGTATCCTAAATCTAATAAATATGCATTATGTTTTCCAATGAGGTTTGGCCTTGGATGTCTATCATTTTCTTGTAGCATCAGAGGTATATAGAAACCTAATTCAATAGATCAAATCAACATTTTAGGCAGATGCCAATCACAAATATAAAAGTACAGATATTGGATGCAGCCAGTAATAGCCAGATCAAGCTGCTTGATCTAAAAAAAAAACCAGCCTCCCAAACTGTCATTAATGAATAGATGATGAATCTCATTCTTTTAACGAATTACTACATTCTAACACTTAAAAGTAAACTGCAAAAATCTTAATGACCGAGAGATACCAGAAATATGAAAGCTGCAGTAGATATATGGGGTATCCTAATCTCCAGCAGATGGCATCAAATCTACCTTCCCAGCCAGACACACTCCCCAAGCATTGGACTACAACTCCCACCATTCCTCAGCCTACATAACCAATAGTCATTCTGTTGGCCATACTGATGGAGGTTACAAGCAAGGTAAGACACCAGGTTGTGGAAAATATGTGTTACAAGCTGGTCCTGCACTGTTCAGAATATAGCCACAAGCCATCACAGCACACTAGAGACATAAGCTGATGCCCACATTATTTATTTATTTATTTATTTATTTGATTTTTCTATTGTTTACAAAATAATAGGTATAAGAATAAACATGAGTATGAATGAAATGTGTACGAATAAATGGGGACAGTAGGATAGGGATGGTAGGCATGATGGTGCGCTTATGCACGGCCCTTGCAGACCTCAGGAATGGGGTGAGGTCAATAGTAGACAGTTTAAGATTAAAATTTTGGGCATTTTGAATATGTAACAGCATTCCTTAGAAAGGCAATTATGAATTTAGCAGGACTTACTTCAGGATCTAAGGGATCATTGAAATAAATCAATCCAGAGTTCTCGCTGGAGGCACACAATGACCAGGCTCAAATGATTCTACGTCGGGGACATTATGCGAGGACCTGGATCGCCGGAGAAGGCTATACTATTGAGAGAGGTGGAAGGAAAGAAAAAAACAGGGTGACCAACAGCAAAGTGGATAGCCATGGGTGCAACGTTGGAAGATCTACCTGTGTGGTTTGCTGGAGTCAAACAAAACCCACGACTTGGTGGCACATAAGGGATTCAGAATCGGCCCACGCTAGAGAACTAGGGAACGTGTAAATGGGATGACACGGGACTCCACCTGCTCCGATCTCTCTGCACGGCGGCTCCACATCCAAAGAAAGGATGCAGCGAAGATTTTTTTTTTCTTTCCCCTTCTAGGCAGCCCGGAAGCGACCCTCCCAAATTATGCAGGTAGGAAAAACTGGAGCCACTCGGTGCCACCGAATGGCCAACCCAACCCCCCCACCCCCGAAGACAAGGCCGAGAAAACGTGCTTTCCGTGACCTCCACCGCCCTACGCCTGGCTCGGGGGCTCCAAACCTACCTTGCCTCTCCCGGCTGGCCCTCTCGGGGGAGGGCCGGAAGTGCAGCGACGACTTTCGCACGCAAGGCGACTCCTGGGTCCGCCGCAGCTGAGCGCTCCCCCCGCCGCCCTCCTCGGCGACCGCAAGATCGCCATCAAAGGGGGGGCGGGGAAACCTTTCCTCTCTCCCGCCAATGACATCGGGCCCTGTGCGATGACATCATCCCCTCCGCCTTCCAGCCACCAATAGGCGGTCGCCCCCCCCACCTCGGAGCAGCACCTGTCAAGGCGTTCGGTCAGGCTCCTCTGCAGTCGCCAGGGCGAGAGGTCCCTGCCGGAACGAGATTATATTTCATCCTCCATTAAAAACGTCCGGACACAACAAAATCCTGACACAGTCTTCTCGTTCTGAGCCCAAAATAACCTCGGGGGAGTTCATAATCCGGTCTTTCCCACTATGTTTGCCCTGCAGATTCGTTGAATTAATTAATTTTTTATTATTTAATTCTCTGCCTGTTTGGGAAGATGTAGAGGAAAGAAGGTTGAGTAAAAGGTGCATAAACACTGTCGCCAGCAGCCTTTGCTTAAATTAACATCCCATGCATTTGAAAGTAGAATCTGCATTTTGCGGTTGCTGCCCAAATAAACCTTTGCTTGACATGGAGCTGCTGTGCAAACATCAAGTTTGAATATGCAAATATGAATTTGGGCGAATTTGGGCCTAGATTTCAATAGCAGAAATATCTTCCTAATTGTAAAAAAAATGGGCAGAGGAGAATCCCATTCAGAGCAGTTACTGAGAAACCTTGGGGCGGGGGGGGGGGGCTTTTAAAAGGTGAAGGAAGATCAGAAATTGTATCATTCCTAGAGGTAGAATCCTGTGTACATGGGGAAGCTTTGAAAAGTCCTTCAAATTCAGGTCACCTTTCTAGCAGAAAGAATCTGCCTCCCCAGATTGAGAAGGACATGAAACATTTAAAGTCTACTTTGATGACAAACAAAATACAATTATGAAAAACTGCAAGAAATTGCCTTCTATAAAAACACTAACTTGTCTACAAAAGGGGATAAGACACCTGGTATTCTCCAAATATTTTAGCCTATTATCCTCATATCCCCAGGCCATACTGGCTAGGAGTGAAGTGGAAATCATCAAATTGTATACCTCCCTTTGACTTGTCTCAGTGTTTCTCAGATTAGCAACTTTCAGATGTGTGGACTTCTATTTCATAGGATTCCCCCAAGTTGGCTCCATACGAAACCCTGATTTACCCAATAGTTTTCCAGTTTAATTTTTTTTAATTGATTTATAAAATATTGTAAAATACAAAATACAAAAGTAGATTGAAAAGCAGTAGAGGGAAAGAGAAGCGAGGAAAAATATGAAGAAAGAAAAGAAGCATTGACTTGTGACTCTCTCTGTTACAGTAAAATAAGGCATTAACATCAAATCATAACTTTTTGCTTTTTCATAATAATACTGTATGAACAAGTCATTTCTGTAAAGATCTATCAATCCACTCGGTAAAACCCACAATCAAAGTTTCATTCTTTCCCACATCAAGCAGGAAGTTCAGAAGGGGTCTCCATGTGGAAATAAAAGTACTTATGTTCTTTTCTTTAATCAAAGTAGTCAATTTTGCCATTTCAGCCAACTCCATCAACTTCTGCAACCATTTGTCCATATAATAAGAATCAAAGTGTCCTTCCATTTTTGTGCATACAATAATTTTCCGAACAGATACACCATTCCCTATTTTTCACTTGGCAATGCAAAGTACAAACTGAGACCTTTTGAAAGACAAAACGTATAAAAAGCAATCAGAAAAAGATTTCTATCATTAAACTGATACAAATTGTCTCCAGTTCATAGCTACATATTCAGTGTGTGTGTATACACCAGTGTGTTTGAAGAGCTCCAACATGAAGTACTGTTCTTTTGGCAGTAGTACAGTAGTACATTTATAAGCATCAGCGAGAGAGAGAGTACTTAAGACATCCAGGTTGAAAAGGGAAGTGTGGGAGGGGACAACCGAGGCTTGTCGTATTTTAAAGACTAACATAATTATTGTGTCAAAAGTGGAACAGAAGGTTCTATCAATTGTATAACAAAGCAAAGATTATAATATTTGCTCATATTTTATGCCACTCAAACCCATTACAAGATGAACAGAATAATTCTTCTGGAAATTAGACTGCTCTGCCTTGTTCTGGTATTCGAGTGTAGTAAATAATAAGCTTTTCCCATTAATAAAAAGAGAACACGAGAAATAGGAACATAATCAAACTGACTGGATAGGGCCTCTTTTCCTTTAGAGTGTTTCCTTCATCCAAACTGTTGACATGGTAACACTTTGCTTATCAAAGGGTGTTTCTAAGTATTAATTAAAGATTGCATTTCTTTTTAATTCATTGTGATGGTTGTTGGAGTGGTGTACAAACAAGGGCAATAAAGGGCTATCATAGGATGAAAGGAATTTGCCAATATTTTAAATATATAGTAAACAATTGAAGAAAAAGACAATGAAAAGAGAAACATTTCAAAGTAGATATTCAGCAACCACTCAGGTTTTAAACAGTGTAGAATACCGGTATTTTGCTCTGTCTTTTCATTATAGGGATTAAAAGCAAATTCAGTAAAATAATGGGAAGATCAATGGAGGCTCACTGGGAAAATTCAGATGGTAGGCAGGGCAATGGAATATGCCTTATTATGACAGGGATGGCAGTGGCCAATAGGAATCAGCGGGAATGTATTTTCCTTAGTTTCCTTAGCCATTTGAAGATGTATGGGCTACAATTTCCAGAATTCCCTAGTCATGACTGGATGGAGAATTCTGGGAGTTGAAGTCCACACATTTCCCAGTAGTGCTAAGGTTGAGAAACACTGCCTTAGTCTCTATATGCAAAGCAGCTGGGCCCTTTGGCTGTATTTTTGGGGAGGATTTAAATCTTCCCAAATTGCTTCCAACCTGATACCTCTTGCCTATCCCTGTAATAACAGACAGAGATGATAGACAAGATACAAGAGCTACAGAACTGAGTCAAGCCAGCTTGAAAGGGCTCAATTTATGACTGGTTGCTTAGTGACAGTTCAGAGGACAGTTACAAAAGACCCTGAAAAAAGTATTTAGGAGCCAGGTTCCAAGTTCTGATAGCTGCCTCCTCTTAGTCATGTGACTGCATTTTGGGCACTTGGCATCCAACCTGCATTTAAGGCCATTTGCAGTGTCCTGCAGTCATGGGATCACAATTTATGACATTTTTTTGTCAGAAACGAGCATTTACTTGGCAAAAAACTTTCCATGGCGCACAATTAACATGTTTGCTTTATGGGTGCAGTTTTTTCTTAACAATCGCTGCAAAAATGTTCATAAAATTGGACATAGTCATGTAATGACCCCAACACAACAACTGAATGAAAACCTGCTGGTGACCTTCTACCGCTGCCTCAAGAGACTATTTTAACATACTGTGCCTGTGTATGGTTTGTTAATTGCACAGTGGCAGATAAAACAGTGCTCCAGAGGGTTAATGTCATTGCCCAGAGGATCATTGGTTGCCTTCTCCCCTCTTTGGAAGAGCTTTGTAACTCCCATTGCCTTAAGAAAGTTCAAAACATTCTTAAAGATCCATCTCATCCTGGCCACCCCCTTTTTTATTTTTTTGAACTATTACCATCTGGCAGACGGCACAGGATAATAAAAACAAGGACAAATAGGCTGAGAAACAGCTTCTACCCCGGAGCAGTAACTATATTGAATTCTACGGTGTAGTGCAATATTACTGCAATATTAGGAGTTTTCAATTTCAATTATATACTACGTGATGGGTGTGTCTTTGTGTTTTTATTTTTATAGCTATAATGTACACTGAAGGTGGCATTTAATTTTGTTGTACGATGTGCAGTGACACTAAACTTAACTAAAGTAAAGTAAACTAAAGTAAACTAAAGTAAAC